CCATAGTTTCCCCCCCCAGGTACTGCACCTTCCCCCTTCCCATCGTGCATTCCGTCCCATGTAGCTTGAGCCCCTTCCTTGTTGACCCCCCCCGCCCCCCCCCGAGTTCCGTTCATTGCAGCCGGCGCTTGTAGCAGCTCGCCTCACCTCTCGCCACGTGCCCTTCCTCTCGCACGTCCTTATCCCCCCCCCGACAAAATCATGTACACATTCACTCACCTGCCGCCTGGTATTATTCAATCTACCGGTACGCGGTGCCACAATTGTTTCGATAATGCGTTATTGAATGTATCAATTTCACGTCTTCCCGCCTCCGACTAAATGGGGAATCTTGGAGGGGGCGAAAATTCATTGGGAGATCATCTGGTTTATCTATATATATCATCAAGTTCGCAAGGAAGTGCCGTAGGTGACACAAGTAGCGTTTTGACATTTGCAAAGTTATACGGGTGTGACATTCTGTAGGGCGTGTGGTATCCTGTGTGAGTCATGTGATAAGGTGGTAGTGCACATACAGGACCCCAAGTACAGGGTGTCATAACAAAGGGCGTACATGACTCGGAAAACTTCATTCACAGGACCCTGCGCACAAAGAACAAAGAACAGGGTGTGTGCTAAGTAAAGGGTAAGTGACTGGATTTTCGGTTGAGGGCGGTGTTGTGCGGTTCTCGACAGAAATACAGTGCTGTCAGGAAGAAACGAACCCTACAATCGATCCGAAAAGAGACAAGTCGACGGCTGTGGCTGCTCAACGGAGATGAAAAAGTCTCTCGAAGACTTGCAGCCACAACATGCTGACGAATGAATCTGATTTGGAAGACACCTACTTGTACAATCGATCCACATCGACGGCTGTGGCTGCGCAACGGAGATGAAAAGTCTCTCGAAGACTTGCAGCCACAACATGCCGACGAATCAATCTGATTTGGAAGAGACCAACAGTCGATCCCACGTCGACGGCTGGCTGTGCTTGCGCAACGGAGATGAATTGTCTCTCGAAGACTTGTCGCCACAACATGTCGACGAATGAATCTGATTTGGAAGAGAACTACAATCGGGTCCCCAGAGAGACAAGTCGACGACTGTGGCTGTGCAACGGAGAATAAAAGTCTCTCGAAGACTTGCAGCCACAACATGCCAACAAATGAAGCTGATTTGGAAAACTCCTTCTGGTACAATGGACCCCAAAAGAGGCAAGTCCACGGCTGTGGTTGCGTAACGGAGATGAAAAGTCTCTCGAAGACTTGCCGCAACAACATGTCGACGAATGAATCTGATCTGGAAGAAACCTACATGCGATCCCAAAAGAGACAAGTCGGCGGCCGTTGCTGTGCAACGGAGATGAAAAGTCTCTCGAAGACTTCCAGCCACAACATGTCGACGAATGAATCTGATTTGGAAGAAACCTACCATCGGGTCCCCACAGAGACAAGTCGACGGCTGTGGTTGCGCAACGGAGAATAAAAGTCTCACGAAGCCTTGCAGCCACAACATGCCAACGAATGAATATGATTTGGAAGATACCTACAATCGATCCCAAAAGAGACAAGTCGATGGCTGTGGCTGCGCAACGGAGATAAAAAGTCTCGCTAAGACTTCCAGCCGCAACTTGCCGGCGAATCTGATTGACACAGATTGTTTCAGTATTCTACCTCGAGAGTGTGCTGCCCCCAACTAATCGCAAAGAAGGGCCGGCCCATCGCGTACGTTGGGAGTCCCAGCAGTAGATGCAAATTGTGGGTATCAGCAGCACATGTGGTGTCATGCACGACTGCTGAGGGAGTCGTAACAGGTGACACACGCTCCCCATTCTACAGAGAAGATATTCGGGATTGAGCGTGGGGCCACCGCTGGAGTCTGATCCACTGCTGTGCTCGGTGCTATGGGGTGTGGTCTTCTCGTCCCCCAAGTTTCGGTGTTCGGTCTCATGCTCAATGGCAGATTTACGATTCCCTCGCCTGATTGGTGTGAGCCGTGATGACAACGGTCGTTCTTGGTGACCCTCAGGGAAGCGCAGGTTTGTGGGCGATCCCCAGTGATGTTATGAACATGGCGGTGGCACCAGGAACACTAGCCCGGATGCATCTCCGCGAAATCCATCTTGTATCCATCTTGTAGTGGTTGAACGCTGGCCCATGGAACTGCAGAGACGTAATGAATGGTGGGCCCGGGTCGCGACATAAATTGCCGGGACTTGCGTCACAGGAGGTTGAATGCCTCGTGAATAACATATGGGGTCGATGAACGATGAAAACGATCACCAAAAACATTCTCACATTCGATCACTCGAGTGAAATTTCAAATGTTGTTGTATGTAGGGAGCTCTCACGGACCAAACTGGATCTACTGGATCTTATGAAATACACGTCACAACCTCTAGCGCCTCCGATTCATAGAGGAGTTCCAAGTGACGAGTTTCCACGTAAGTCCTGCTGGCGATATGTGCGTGTGCTTCGGCGAAGTTCTCTCTATTAACTGCCGGTGCTCTATAAGCGGACAGTGATCACGGCATTTATGCAAAAAATG